CTATCAGTACTACAAATGAATAACCTAGATCTACATATATACATGTACACATATAAATAATAGTGAGCTGAAGAAAAAAAGTGTGATGCCATTTACATAATTTATAAAACTGTACAACAGTATATATGAATTATAAAAACAAACATGTTGTAAAAGGATTAAGAACTGCATAGTTATGATCATCAAGAAATTTAGAGTACTAGGTACTTTTCAAGTGTGTGAAATCACAGGGAAATGTGGAGAAATTGAATGAGATCTGTAACATTTTATTTCTTAAAATCTGAAACAAATCATAACAAAGTGTTAAGATTTGACAAAGGTAAGTTATGAATAAAATGGTGTTTTTCATATTGTTCTCTTTTTCTGCATGATTACATTGTTTGATGATATAAAAAGAGACAATATAATGACATTTCATTCTCCTCAGATAGCAAATGAACTATTTTCTGTGAACCTAAAGATATTACAAATTCAAGATAAACCTTAGGCCTCCAGTTAGTACTACATATGTATTGCACATCCAGTTGATGCTCACATTTCATAGATATATTAGGAGATAATAATCTGAGTTAATACTTTCACATGTCACTGACTGGTGATCACGTGCTGTTCTCTTTCAGAATAAGATACTGCTACTTAAATGCGTATCTGCTTTGACATACTTTTCTAGATATTGGTGTGGGCTTTCTAAGCCTGTTTTCCTTTCTGGGTGAAGGTAAATAATCTGCCTCAAAGTAGCCTTGTTTCCTTTTTGCTAAATTAACTGCCACTTACAGTGATTGAACCAGCAACTGTGGCCTCTTTTAAAAACAAATTGAACTATTTATTTTTCCTCTTCCTGACAGGAGATTCTCTACATTACCCAGCATTTGGAAGGCTTCTGAAAAGTTAGGGCAATTTATGTACCTTCCGCAGTGACAGGAAACTACTAAAAGGGCTTGAAGCAATAGAAGGACTAAGAGGGGCTAAAGCAGTTGTGCTCAGCCACCTGTGCTGTTCTGCCTCATGGCCATACCAAGTCAGGGACACTCAAACTGATTTCATGGTGACCCATATTATGTGGGTTTATATGTAAATCTACAACAAAAATGAAAGTTGCTCAAAAGTATACTTACTCTTACTTTAAGAAATGTATTCAGATTTTTTTTTTTTAATTCTGGTATCTTATATATCAGTAAAAAAAAAAAAAACCTGTCTAGTATAATACTGTATATTGATTTTAGTCTCTGATGATTCACACACTAGAAAGTTGTTCATGAATTATTTCTATCACTGCTGGATTTAAAAGTCCTACATTACATTAATATGTCAAGTTTATCTGAAAACCTTTTATTATTCTTCCCCCAGGGAGAACTTTTTTCTATGGGAAATTCTTGTCAATGGAAAATATTGTTTTAAAATCAGTAATGAAGCATTACAAGAGAATGTTTCTATCTTTTCTCTGCAGCTACCCCCTCCCCCGCAAATGTGCCTGCCTAGGGTGGAAAAAGTCAAATGAGGAAGTTTGTTGGCTAGACAGAAATGAAAATGACTAAGATATAATGGCATGGAATAGCATTTTACTTATTATATATGAAGTAACAAGGAACTAAACACAGAATTTACCAAAAACAACTCGGAAAAAAAAAGAGATGGGGCAATAATAAGACAAACAGGTTTGATTCATATAGCATTTAGATCCAGACTTTTTTTTTTTTTATCCTCACCCGAGGACATTTTTCCATTTTTTGTTCAGATAGAGCGGGAGGGAGAGAGAGGAACAGAGAGAGAGAGAGAGAAACATCGATGTGTCGAGTGGCTGCCACCCGCACAACCAACCAGGGCCAGGGACAAACTGCAACCGAGGTACGTGCCCTTAGCGGGAACTGAACCCGGGTCTCTCTGTACCGCAGGCCGACGCTCCAACCGCGGAGCCAAACCGGCCAGGGCTAGATCCGGACTTTTAAAGAACCATAGATATCTGTGAATAATGCCATGACTCATCCTTCGGTGGTCAATGCTCAAGACACACTCTGTCATTTCCTGTGACTACCATCCCTTCACAGTCTCCTGGCCTCCAATTTAAAATATAGAGTAACAAATAATAAATAATTAATAAAATAAAACATTTCACCGAAACACTGAAGAACGTCCTCAGGAACAGACATCTGGAGCTGCACCTGATCACTGATTACTGAATCTGCTTCTCAGAATGCTTCTAGTGGTGTTTCTGTAGACATTGCTCAATGACCTGCCGCTTCTGTCCTAGACTTTCTCCCTGAATTGATTTTACTTTATGGATAAAGGCATACCAACCTTTATCATAGATTCATTTTGAAAATTATGAAAATGCAGATGCAAAGTCTTAAAGACCAGGTATTCTAAAGCTGACATGGATTAAAGATTATAGGGTTGCCCTGGCCAGTTTGACAGTGGTTGGAGCGTCAGCCTGAGGACAGAAGGGTCTTGGATTCAGTTGCGGTCAAGGGCATGTATGGTTTGCAGGTTCAGTCCTCGGTCCAGGTTGGGGTCATGTAGGAGGCAACCAAGTGATGTGTCTCTCTCACATCGATGTTTTTCTCTCTCTATCCCTCCCTCCCTCTGTCCCTTCTACTCTCTCTAAAAATCAATGGGAAACAGTGATCCCAGTTCTTGGGATATATCCTAAGAATCCTGAAACACTAATCAGGAAGAATATATGCACCCCTATGTTCATAGCAGCACTATTTACAATAGCTAAGATCTTAAAACAGTCCAAGTGCCCATCAGTAGATGAGTGGATAAAAAAGTTGTACATTTACACAGTGGAATATTAGGCAGCTGTAAGAAAGAGAGATCTCTTACCCTTTGAGATGACATGGAGGGACCTGGAGAGTATTATATTGAGTGAAATAAGCCAGTCATAGAAAGACAAGTACCACATGATCTCATTTATTTATGGAATATAATGAACAAAATAAGCTGACAATCAAATAGACCCAGAGATATGGAAGTAGGGAACAGACTGACAGACGTCAGAGGGAAGGGGGATGGGGGTGGAGTGGGAAGAGATAGACCAAAGAACTTTTTTGCATATATGCATAACCAATGGACACAGACAATAGTATGGGGGAAGGCAGGAGGTGGGGAGGAGTGGGGAGGAGGAGGACAATGGGGGGGAAAATGGGGGAACATCTCTAATACTCTCAACAATAAAGATAAAAAAAAAAAATCAAGGGGAAAATATCCTCAGGTGAGGATTAACAAATATTATAGGGTCAAGAAGGCCAGCAAAACATGAGTTCAGTCATATTCATGTCTATCTTGCATATTTTTATTATGTAATTTGTATCATGTTATTTTGTACTTTAACTAGGACTTAAGAATCTAATGTTATGAGGGCCGTTTGCTTCTGTTAAAGATTTAAGCGCAACTATCATCATGTAGTAATACCCAATAAAATTTCTGAATGAATTACTTAGATTATATTGAACTTTCCATTTTTAGCTCCTGCTAAAAATGTAATTGTTTTATAAAAATTTTTGTCAAGTACAGAATAATCATTAAGTTCTAGCAATGGTTTAAAACTTTCATATGCTACTAACTTCTTAACCTTTGTAAAGAGAGAGTAATATGTTCTCTATGTCAAAGATCAGTATGAGGATGAATTGTATGGCTGGTCTGGAATATACTGAAGCAACTCGGGGCCAGTAAACTTGGTTGCAAAATGAAATCACCTGGGAAACTAGAAAGTACTGAGAGCTGGGATCTACTCCCCCAAATTCTTCATTTATTGGTATGAGGTGTGGCTTAGGCATGGGATACATTAAGTTTAAAAGGTCCACAGCTAACCTGGCTGGAGTGGTTCAGTAGGTTGGAGCATTGTCCTGTACGCCAAAAAGTGGTGGGTTCAATTCCTGTTCAGGGAACATACTTAGGTTTCAGGTTGGATCCCTGGTTGGGGCGTGTATAGGGAGCAACCTATCAGTGTTTCTCTCTCACACCAATGTTTCACTCTCCCTTCCTCCCTCTAGAATTGATTAAAAAATGTTATAAAGGTCCATAGCTGATTATAATATACAGCCAAGTCTGAGAACCTGAGAACCACTGAGACTACTGCGTTAAAACTTTAATGGTCAATGAGAAGTCTGAGGATTAGCATCAGCTTTACCTGGAAGCTTGTCAGAAAGGCACAGGTTTAAACTGTACCCCACACCTACTGAGTCAGATCCACATTTTCAGGGCCTCTCATTTAACCCATTAGAATTATTTTTCTATAAAAATAAGGTACTAAGCTTATCCATCCATTCCAACTCTAAAATTCTTATTCCACAACCTAAACAATACACTGAGGAGCACTTTTAAATTGATCTAGAAATATTTTACCTATAAAGATGAAAGACCAAAACTGTTCTATTCTTTCCAACCCTACAATTCTCATTCCACAAACCTAAATAAATAAAATGCTGAGGTAATGCTAAAAAACTATCATAATCCCATCTTCTTCATTTAAGACCTACATAAAATCACACCTCCTTTGTGAAGCAGGTCCTGTAAAATAAGGTATATTTTCTCTAAAATTCTATTGTCAATATAATTAGTTCCACAAAGTTTAGCACATTGTTTCTTTCTGTTATAACATATGTTAATTCATTTCTCCAAGTAAATTATGTGTGTATTTTTAAATATATTTTTATTGTTTTTGTTTTAGAGAGAGAGAAAGGAAGAGAGAGATAGAAACATTGATGTGAGAGAGAAACATCAATTGACTGCCTCCTGCATGCCCCCTACTGGGGATTTAGCCTGAAAAATGGAGGAAGTCGGTTACTGATTTTTAAAAAATTATGCACATTTTTAGGGTATGTGATAAAAAATAATTACCAAATTGGCCTTCAGAAGTTTGTTCTCTCACAAAGTGATGGAAATTTTTAAAATATTTAATCAGCAATTCAACCACTTTCTTAGATATAAAATTTACTATTGACTGACATACACTGAAATGTGACATTAAAGAATAATTGATGTAGTTGGAAAATACTCACATTCTTTTTGAGGGTTAATTTCAGTTTGGAGAGATTGGAATTTATAATATGGTATCTCTTGTTTGAATACGGATGTGAGAACATCATCAAGTTCTTTCATGTCATTCTGTTTCCAAATGAAAAGGACATTTTTTATTAGTTCAGTTATTCACATAGAAACTCATCTTAGTGCAATATAATAAAAAATTATTACCAGAGTAAATACCAGGTAATTTTCAGCACTATTATTACCATTTTTAAAGACTCATACAAAACATTAGGGTTTGCTTAAAAAACAGTTATTAAAGTAATAGAGAAATAAATGCAAGAAACAAAAGTCTGCTTTTGGATGAACAACTTTACTTAAACACTTACTAATTATAAAAGAACATTACAGCACATCAATAATAACACTGACATTTGTTTTAATACTAAATTTTGATAAAATATATATGTTTTAATAAATAAAATAATGAGTCTGGTTCTTCTAATTAAGGGGCAGAAATGGGATACACAGATTATTTTATTTCTGTGTCAAAATGAAAGTGAGAAAATATTCATCTTGGCCTTTTTTTTTTTTTCATTCTTGTAACTATACAATAACTACATGTCTATGCTATTTCCCTAATTTTAAGAGGAGGCAAGCAGAACTCAAGAATTCTCCTACTGATGGCATAACCTTTTACAAAGACAAGCATCTTTTAAAATTGTGTTTTGTGAAGCTTATGACTGGAACTAAATTGACTTGGGACATAGATGGCTGTAGCTGAGGAGGTGGCCCAATCAAACAAAGCCACTGGATGGAGAGAGGATTGTAGAACAAAAGTTTCTAACAAAGACTTTTGAAGTGATTTCTAAATAAAATTAGACATGTTGCCAATACATAGTCACATACATTTAATGGCTGTATTGATCAAATAAACACCTATGTTACTCTATTTCTTCATTTTTCAGTAATCTGAGTGCCTCAAATAGTACAGTGATTCAGGGCTCAGTGGGTTTTCTATGTTCTGCTGAGAAGTTGGGAGTGGTCTTGGTGTGGTGAGCACATTGTTAAGATATGAAAATGTCACATCACTACGTTGTACACCAAAAAGATAATACAATATTGTATGCCAACTATAGTCTATTAAAAAAAATAAGTTGGGGAGGGGATGTAAGTCTTTTTCTCAACGTATAGCTATATAATATGAAGCAAAGCCCAACATTAATCTACTTAATGCTATGTACTATATGGAACTCTTAGCTCTGGAACATTAAAAAAACAAACAAACAAACAAACAAAAAACAAAAAAACAGAGGAGGTATGGGACAGCAAGCTCTGCCTTTAAGGAATTCACAGTCATATAATTATATATGGACAATAAATTGAGTTCTAGGTACTATGAAAGAAAGTTACTATGAGTTAGTTACAGAGTGGACACTCATATATAAGTTAGTCATATGATAACCTCTGGGATCACTTCCAGTTCTGAGATTCTAACACACAGATGAGAATTCAAAGAGCAAGATTTCTCACTAGAAATCTGAGATACCATGATACTTCAACGTGAGAAATGCTATAGCTTATAGCATTGCATTTTAAAAATGAAGTAACAGTGTTTGTAGAAAAAAAGGCCTTACAATGCAGATGAAGACATTTCATTAATTAGGAAATAATACAGATATCATAACTAGTTGAATCACTTCTATTTTCAATTTCATAATCATAATACTGGCATTATGCTTGTAAATAAATAAATAGTACAGAACACAAAATATAATTTCCAAATTATTTCTCCCAAGAACATATCCTAACATAAAAACTGATTTGAATAGTTATGTTATATTAATATTATATAAAGTAGACATCAGAGCAATGAAAATGAGCATTTAGATAGGAACTTTATAAATTGATAAAAGAGTCAGTCCACCAAGAGGACATAGTAATCTTAAATATGTGTGGACAAAAGCTCCCAAATATATGAGGTAAAGACTGACATAATGGATAGGAGACATACATAAATCCATAACTATAGTTAAATACCTTTCTTTCAAAAATTGATTAAAAAGTCAGCAAGAATATAGGAAAACTCAAACACAGTATATAATTTTCCAATGATCTACCAACAAGAATCTAATGAACATATATAGAACATTCCATTCAACAAGAGCAGAATACACATTCTCACCACATGCTCATGGAACATATACCAAGATAGGCCATTTACTGGGATATAAACAAATATCAACAAATTCAAAATAATTTAAATTATACTGATTGTGTTTTTCTAACTACATGGAATCAAACTACAAATGCATAACAAAAAGATAATAGAAAGGTATCCAAACATTTGGAAACCAAACAACATAATTCAAAATAATCCATGAGTCAAAGAGTGAGGAAGTCTCAAGGAAAGTTAAAAATACATAAAACTGCATGAAAGGGAAATGCAACACATCAAAATTTGTACAACACAGCTAAAGCAAGGCTGAGAGAAAATGTTATAGGAAATATATATACTAAGAAGTAGAAAAGTCACAAGCAATCATCAAGAATCTAGAAAGAAAGTAAAATTCACAGCAAGCAGAAAGAAAAAAATAAATACAGTGCAGAAATAAATGAAACTTAAAATATAAAATAATAAAAAATATCAATGTAACAAGATGATTTTCCTTAACTTTTATGGACTTTATTGGGGTGACATTAGTTCATAAAATTATATATTTCAAGTATGAAATTCTATAATACATCATTTGTATATTGTGTGTTCACCACTCAAAGTCAAGTCTCCTTCCATCACCATTTATCCGCCCTTTATTTTCTTTTACTTTTCCCACTCAGAAAGGGAAACTAAAAAAAAATCCTATTTACAACTGCATCAAAAAATAATAAGAAGAAGATACCTAGGAATAAATTTAACCAAGAAAGTAAAAGACCTGTACTCAAAAAATTATAAGATACTGAAGAAAGAAATTCAGGAATATACAAAGAAGTGGAAGCATATGCTATGTTCATGGATAAAAGAAATCAACATCATTACAACATCAATACTACCCAAAAGTGATCTGTAGGTTCAATGCAATTACTATTAAAATTCCAACAGCATATCACAGAAATTCCAAAAATGTATATGGAATCACAAAAGACCCAAAATAACCTCAGCAATCTTGAGCAAGAAGAACAAAGTTGGAAGTATCATGCTACCTAATATCAAATTTTACTACAAGGTCATAGCAATCAAAACAGCATGGTACTGGCATAAAAACAGGCATATATATATCATTGTAATAAAACAGAGAACCCAGAAATAAACCAATGCCTTTATAGTCAATTAATATTTAACAAAGGAGGCAAAAACCTACAACGGGGTAAAGACAGTCTATTCAATAAAATGGTGTTGGGAAACTGGACAGATACATGCAAACATAATGAAACAAGACCGCCAACTTACACCATACACAAGAAAAGAAACTCAAAATAAATTAGAGACTTAAATGTAAGTCTTGAAACCATAAAAATCCCAGCAAATTGATCTGCCATTTGACCAAGTGATCCAACTTTTAGGAATATATCCTAAGAAGCCTGAAACACCAATCAGAAAGAATATATGTACCCCCATGTTTGTAGCAGCACTATTTACAATAGCTAAGGTCTGGAAACAGCCTAAATTTCCATCAGTAGACAAATAAAATGAAAAGGCTGTGATACATATATACAATGGAGTACTATGCAGCTGTAAGAAAGAAAGATCTCTTATCCTTTGAGACGACATGGAGGGACCTTGAGAGTATTATGCTAAGCAAAATAAGCCAATCAGAGAAAGACAAATACCACATGATCTCACTTATTTGTGGAATATAATGAACGAGGTGGGCTGATGAACGAAATAGACTCAGAGACATAGAAAGGAGTACGGTTCAGACTGACAAACCTCAGAGTATGGGGGTAGGAGGGTTAGATGAGATGAACCAAAGAATTTATATGCATGTATGCATAACCAGTGGACATAGACAACAATGCCAGGGGGTGGGGAGGGCAGGATGGGGAGGAGGGTGTTGGGGGGGAGAGGGGAAACATCTATAACAAAGATAAATTAATAAAAATTGGGGAAAAAATCCTAGCAGAAAACAGGAAGTAAAATCTCAAACATTTCTAGTAGCAATACTTTTTCTGATATATTACCTCAAGCAAAGGAAACCATCAACAAAGTGAAAAGACAACTCACTGAATGGGAGAACATATTTGCCCATGATACATCTGATAAAAGGTTAACATTTACAATTTATAAAGAGCTTATACAACTCAACACCAAAAACACAAGCCAATTAAAAAAGGAGCAAAAGGCCCTGGCCAGTGTGGCTCAATTGGTTAAGTGTTCTCTGCACTTAAAGGCCACTTAAAGGCCAGTCAGGGCACATGCCCAGGCAGCCAATTGATGGCTCTCTCTCTCCCCCCATCTCCTTTCCTTTCCTTCCTCTCTTTCTAAAATCAGTAAAAATCATTAAAAACAAAATTTTTTTAAATGAGCAAAGGACCTGTAAAGACACTTCTCCAAAGAGGACATACAGATAGTTAACAGACATGAAAAGATGCTCACTAATCAAAAACAAAAAAGATAAATAGCTATTACATAGTATCACCCCTTTGAAGTCTAATGTGTTTCCTTCTTGGATGAGGAGTGTGAACACTGCTTGGGTATGATGCATTGAGAGATTTATTTTTAAAAAGATTTTGAGGCAATTTAATGTAAGCAGTTGTGAGATACTTCAGATGTTTTGAATGGTGTGAAAGGTTATATATTGTACATGTAAGATAAGTGAATACAGTTAAATAGACTCAAAGAATTTAAGTGTTAGTAATAATTACCACATATTGGGCACTTATATTATGCTAGGCTTTATATAATTTATTTATAATTTTCATAAAAAATATAGTTTTTAAAAAGCCTGTTTTTATAGATGTGATTATTTTGGTCCAAGAAAATCAGTAATACCCCTACACCCAATTGCAGAGTTAAGTAGTAGAATAAGGATTTTAATTTATGCCTTCACAACGTAAACAAAATGCATTTTGTATCACATTTTAGTCACAGAAGGAAGAATAAAATCTGAAGTACAATTTGAGTAAAGCATATATTATGGTCT